TTTATGTTACGTGTGTGTACTGGTTGATGGCTGTGTTTATGTTACACGGGTGTACTGGTTTATTGCTGTGTTTGTGTTACGTGTGTGTACTGGTTGATGGCTGTGTTTATGTTACGTGTGTGTACTGGTTGATGGCTGTGTTTATGTTATGTGTGTGTACTGGTTGAATGCTGTGTTTATGTTAGACATGTGTACTGGTTGATGGCTGTGTTTATGTTACGTGTGTGTACTGGTTGATGGCTGTGTTTATGTTACACGGGTGTACTGGTTTATTGCTGTGTTTGTGATCAGTGATTGTAATTGTTTAATCAGACAAAAAAAAAAACAAATTCATCTCCATTCAAATAGATCTGTATCCCAATATGCTACTGGCCAATCACCATAGCCTTAATTAGGTTTATCTTACCAGTTATAATGACAAACAAGAGGCCCAAGGGGCCTTAACGGTCACCTGAGGAATATATGTCAATAATCTGGGAATTTTAAAATGTTGCAAAAATGTAACAACACTTGTGCAGGACCATGTGTAAAACATCTGTACCAAGTTTGAACATGACCCACCCAATGATTCTTGAGAGGAAGTTCAAAATGTCTTAGCTAAACAGAGGTCAGGGTGGCCATTTTGGATTTTGAATCATCCCAAAAAGTTAAAACACTTGCCAGGACCTTGTGTAGAACATTTGTATCAAGTTTCCCCTTTTCCCTTCTCCTGGGGCCCCTATTGGGGCAACACCCTTTTTCTTCGCAAACTAGAAGCGGCTTCCCATGCGGATGCTTTGTGCCAAGTTTGGTCAATATCCATCCACTGGTTCTTGAGAAATAGTCATTTAATGAAGGTTTTTACATATGGCCCCTTTTACACCCCTTATGGGCCCCAAAGGGTACATAATCACTTTTTTCAACATAATTTCATATGTCCTTCACTAAGGGATGCTTTCTACCAAATTTGGTTGAAATTGGTCAAAGTTGAAATTTTGACCCTTTTGAGCGCCCCTAGTGGGGCCGTTTTTGACCCGATTTTTTTTCATTCGCAAACTTTGTAAACCTTGCCATAAGGACCCTAAATATCAAATATGAATTTAATCTGACTGTTGGTTCATGAGAAGAAGATTTTTAAAGATTTACCTAATTTTACCCCCTTTTTCCCCCTCCTGCAGTCCCTATTAGGGCCACACCCTTTTTCTTCGCAAATTTGAAACGGCTTCCCATGGGGATGCTTCGTGCCAAGTTTGGTCAAAATCCATCCAATTTTTCTTGAGAAGAAGTCATTTAAAGAAGGTTTTTACATATGGCCCCTTTACACCCCTTATGGGCCCCAAAGGGGACATAATCACTTTTTTCAACATAATTTCATATGTCCTTCACTAAGGGATGCTTTCTACCAAATTTGGTTGAAATCGGTCAAAGTTGAAATTTTGACCCTTTTGAGCGCCCCCTAGTGGGGCCGTTTTTGACCCGATTTTTTTTTCATTCGCAAACTTTGTAAACCTTGCCATAAGGACCCTAAATATCAAATATGAATTTAATCTAACAGTTGGTTCATGAGAAGAAGATTTTTAAAGATTTACCTAATTTTACCCCCTTTTTCCCCCTCCTGCAGTTCCTATTGGGGCCATGCCCTTTTTCTTCGCAAACTTGAAGCGGCTTCCCATGGGGATGCTTTGTGCCAAGTTTGGTCAAAATCAATTCAGTGGTTCTTGAGAAGAAGTCGAATATGTGAAAAGTTAACAACGCACGATGCTCGGCGCACGACGCACGACGACAGACAAATCATGATGGCAATAGGTCACCATGAGCCTTCAGCTCAGGCGACCTAAAAACTACATGGTTCCAATATATGGACCCTTCCTAAGTTATTACTGTATTTAATGCATTTGCACAAAATTGACAGTCAAGCATCCTAGGATAAAAAACATACAAACAGAATGAATATAAATATATTTATTATGAACAATACAGGCATAATAATTAACATATTTCATTCCACAAATAATTTCCCGGCAGTGCTCCTTGCTGACTAACATTCTTTGTGTATGATGACAATAACAAAACACGACAAGACCAATTACCAACAAATATAAACTTGGTAATTCTCATACATAATAACTCATAAACCTGACATTTTACAATATATGTTATATACCAGTACTGAAAACAACAGGATATCTTCATCAAAACCAAAAAACATTAAATGTGTAGAAAATAGCCTGTCAACCAGTCAACCAAAAGTTTTCAAAATAGACATAATCAACATTTATAAATAGCGACCATTTTATCAAAAAGTTATGATATCACAATACTGTAAATATCCGCCCGGAGACACTGCCGCATTTTTCTACATTAGGAGTGTTGGATCACCCATTATTTATTAATACTGTAAAAAGTGGATAAGCAAATTCAGTTACAGAATGACAAGTCAACAAAACAGTGGTCGTTATGTTAACGTCATCTGATTTAAAACTAAGTATTTCATTAACCAGATGGGGTAGTTTAAAATAAGATAAAATTCTCAACTTTAGGCAGATCATCAAGTATTATTCATTAAATTGATTACAAAATCAATGGTATTCTCTCTGTGTTACACACTGATCTATTTGAAACACAGTAATGTGTAATTATAAAATCTATTTCAGATTATTATCCTTGACAAGTCTGTTAGCACCCATCCAATGTAGCACTATTGTAAACATATATATTTTTTGCAGTACAACATGTATTTTTATTTCAGGACTTTTCATGATGAAAGTATGACACTTAAATGTTATTACGATCATTGTAGATTGATTGCACTTTATTAAGTACGTATTCATAGCTGACATTTCCTTTTTGCAATATTACCCTAGAATATACTAGTTTCTTCGTCCTGAGTCTGGGTGTCTATATGTAAGACTGATATAGACTGATGCAGTCAGAAAACAGTTGCTAATATGGTATTTGTTAATTATAGTACTTTTTCAGTAAGTAAATCTTACCAGTTCTTCAATCAATCAACATCAATTAAAGTTAAAAAAAATATCTTTGACCTATTTCATCAATCTAATATCAAATAGAACCTCAACATCCTTCCTGATATAAAAAGCACAATTTCTGAAAACCTCAGGCAGAGCTATAAATTGATCACCTGGATTTTTGTGCCCAGCAATAGTAAACTACATTGCTATTGTTTAGGGATCTCAAATATTACAACGTTATAACTAAACCTGGCAACGGCTAAGGGATTGGACCAGTCCCCAAGGTCAAGTCATCAATGTGTCTATCTCTTGATGTGCAATAACAAAATACTGTGTACTTGGTTTGAGGTCGAAATCTAAATTGTTTTAAAATGATCACTCATGAATTAACTCCCTAGGGGTGAGGGAAGGCCCTAGTGCTAATTCATACATCTGAATTGTGTTAATTCCTTGATATAAAGCAGTAATATATATACAAATGTTTCAAAGATATAACCCAGAAAATAAGCTCCCAGTGGTGGAGCCAAACTCCAGGGCAAAATCTTATGTCATAATTGTTTTTATATGTTGATGCACAGCAATGCTATATATGGTTATGCCCAGTAATGCTATATATGGTTATGGGGTGCGGATCTCAAGATCTCTAGAATATAAGTCCAACATGGTCGGGAAAACCCCAAGGGCCAATTCCTAAATCATGATTGTGTTTATGTGGTTGTAGGTTGGGGATCTCAACTGTTTTAGATACAAAGAAACAAAGTCCCTTAATGTGGGGAAAGACCCAAGGTACTATTTAAACATCATCGGGATTGTGTTAATCTCTTGATACCTGGCAATGCTGTATAAAACTGAAGATCTTTAAAGCCCCAACCATCAGGCCCCTGGGGCGAAGCCCTACAATTTCATAAATTCAGATATCTATGTAATAATGATGTTCCATCTCGAATTTCCAACAAATTAGGCCCAATGGTTTTGAAGAAGCTTAATATAATCGTACTCTAGATGAAAGCCAAATGAGTTACCACTGCGCCATACAGCCACATCACTAACGTACATAAAAGGTCAACGAGTACAAACATCTGTTGTTGAAATTTAATGGAAGTGATCCTGTATATCATCATGTAGACAAAGGCAACACAGTAACTTTATTTGAAACGTCTTACAGGACTGCAACAGATGTCACAAACCAGAAGTTTACAAGTCAGATTAGTGACTCGAATTGAAAATTACACTTTTCTAAAGCCTAAATATGTCACCAACTACAAAACTGAACTAAATTTCCCATATGCACAGTATTTCACTGAAACTAATTTAAGATAGGAACTATCTTTGGATGCAACAGCTTCTGACTGCATGTCCTAATTTAATTCTTCACACTAGTGAATATACGTTTCAATAAATAAATAAAACTGAAACATGGGCTGTATAATCTCATTGGAGTCACCATATTATCTATTGCAACAATATCTATGGATTTTATTCCAACACCAACACTTTTAAAATAAATGAGATTTACATATCCTCAAATGAATGTAGGAAACATAGGCACCCTATATCAAAAACAGATTTACATCAGTTGTAAAGCTGAAGGACAATGTGTTGATACAGGGCATGATCCAATAACACCATCTTAATTGCATAAAATAATTGTTTCCAGTAATAATACAAAATCCTTAAAAGTAAGCCAGTAAACATAGGCATTGATAGAGACAAAAGTGGTTCTGACTAGTTATCAGATCTAAAGGATTCTGACAGTCATAAAAAGCATTTCAATACATATACATGTAAAAATGTCCTAAATGTTGCAAAAATTCTATTTTCTTAACATAAACTTAACATTGACTTTTTTGTTTGTGAAGTTACATAACTGGACATCATGTAGATTGAAAAATAAAAATATATAATTCATTGAAAAATAAATCTGTGAAGAGGTAACACTGTGATGATAAGGCTAGAATTTGTCACTAATACATATGTACACCAGGCCTTTACTGTTCAGAGCTTGGTTAATTAGAGGTCAATGAAAATGTTCAAGAGATTCAAGCTCTGGAAGTCATTTTTTCTGTGGCAACAATTCCACAGGTTAACTCTAACCAAGCTGTGAGCAACTGAGGCCAACATCCAACACACATACTGTTACATGCAAAAATAGAAGAGATTCACAACTGTGTGATTTACACATATACTGATCTACACATAAGTAAAGATAATCATAGGCTTAAAATATACAGTCGTGATTTTTTTTGTCTAAAGCACCGATCTTATCAAATGATATTTTAATTTAAGCACAAATATATATCCATACTTTAAAAACAAAAAAATACATTGTTGCTTTTGGATTACCTGGCATGAAAAGGCAATGATATGAGTGACATACGTATAATTACAACATATTCAACTATATGAAACACACTGCAGCAGTACTTGTATAAATAAGATGACAGATCAGAAAACATACACTTTTAGTTATAGCAAAAATTCCATTCCAAATGGTGACTAGTTGTATCTTACGAGAATATTATCTACCTAAATATGCATGCAATTAGTATAAGATATATCTGATTATAGTTAGTTTAAGAGTTTTCTCCCTTGCTTGCTATATATAGTTTAGTTTGGAACTTGGCAAATTATATTGGTAATCTGTGAAAGTTATCTCCGTTTTGAATTCCTCATTTGTACATGGGTAATCGCCTTTGAGGATATAAACTACCTTAAAATACACATGGTTGATTTGTGTGTAACAACACATACCATCATAATATACAGAAAATGTAGCTATTCTAGTTATCTCCCTTATTACACTTTTGGGAAATGAGATTCATGTCACTGAAATGTAGGTTACATCCTTATATCTATACCTGGACAATGCTGCTTAATCACTACACAACAGAGACTAGAAGCAACAACAAAGAGCATCAGAGATTATAACAATGACTAGAGATGTTCCTCTGAAGATTCATCCAGTCTGTGGGAATGTCTTTTGGCCATCAATGTTTCCCTGACTATGATGATAAGAGGTGGGTACAGGCAGGAATCCTTAAGTTTGTTGATTAGTAGTAAGCTCCATGTAAGAGCGCAGCCTCCTTCACTATCATGTCCTGGTTACCATACAACTTTGTGTAGGAAGATGCTTCCTTCCATTTCTTCTCTTTCTGTTCATGCAACAGAGCAACCAAAACTATAACTTTGAATTCAAAATTTATCTTCCACCTCTCAATACATGTTTATCAAAATCCACAAAGAAATCTGCTTTCTCAACAAGCATATCGTGCATTGCTAACATGTCCCCTACTGAACCCTGCAAACTATTACACAGTAATTATTTATAAATATATAAGTGCTGTTTGGTTTTAATTTGTGATAAAAGAAAACTTTACAACTAAAATATGTAAAATGATATCCTTGAAAGTAAAATTGTTCATTGAAGCTACAGACCCTTTCCTAATTTCAAGTATGAAATAAATGTTTTTTTATTATGGTTTTTGGTTAAACAAAAAACTGAACCACTGCATTAAAACTATTACATTTTTCTTGCCCTGTAGAGAGATTAAATTTACAATCATATCTATTTCATTTGTGTATATCATCCAGTATATATCTATAATATGGGTAAATTCTTACCTCTTTCACTATATCATCCAGTATACTGCCTCCCCTGTAGTGAAGATTCCAGACCTCCGCCTCACGCCAGGCATTGTCAGTGTTGGAGGGATCATCAATGTAACCCTTGTATATCACTCCAGAGGTCAGCCCTGTGTTAGGGCTTGACCCTGGTACAGAGTACTTAGAAAAAAACTGAAATATACAATAAAGAAATTTGTAAATAGATTTCAGTTGAAGATCTAGACTCGGGTAAAAAAGTAAAAATAGCTGAAAGAGGAGAGGCTCCCCCTGGTACTTTGAGAAAATTTTCAACCAATAGAATGATTATTAAGAGGGGGGGGGGGGTGGGGGGGTGGGGGGGTGGGGGGGGGGGGGGTGGGGGGGGGGGGGGGGGGGGGGGGGGGGGGGGGGGGGGGTGGGGGGGGGGGGGGGGGTAAGTTGAGAATTATTCCACTCTACATCTTCACATGACTTCTTTAAAGTAGATTATGTATTTTCTTTTTCTGGAAGGATTCATGCATTTTTACGGGGGAAAGAAGATTATCAATCTGTCAAACACTTGGCAAGCTTCATGTCTGACAACAGTAATTTTCCCGGTGAGAAAATTTCCATTAAAACATGAATCCAAGTAAGAAGGGAAAACTCTCTCCCCTTTTAAGCCAGTTGGATGAAATTCTGTGCATTTTTGACAAAAAAGTGCTAACCTTTGGATTTTGTTCTACTTCATCGAAGGAAAGGTAGGAAATTTCCTACATTGCCTTAAAACTATGACATAAACAATTTTGGGCTTCTCAATGCAGAAAATTTCCTACATTGAAGTAGCACACATTCCAAAGACAAGCACCTTTTTGTCAAAAAAGCACAGAAAAGCACATCAACTGGCTTAAAGGGAAAGGTGGAATTTTTATTTCTTATTAGGAAGTGTTTTTCAATCACACTGACAAACAATAGACAACAAAAACAGATTGATGAATATTCTGTAAGTTAAATCAATCCAAGTAGATACTAATCAGATCTGCAGACAATTGATGTTAAAAATTTCAGATTTTTTGTAAAGAGTTTTCATTGTCAATACTCACACTGATCATGTCTTGTTCGGTCATATTTTCTTTTGCTGTAGTTTCCTGGTCAAGAACAAACTGCTGAAACCTCTTACACAGTGCGCTGTACATGGACATATTACCATAGTCATTTCCCTGTAATATCAGCAATGTTCTAATGGAACTACATTGTACAAAGTGTGTAAAAAAAAAATTGTTCCTCTACATGTAATATGTAAAGTGTAGAATACTGTGACTTTTATTTAATGTCAACCATGATTTCATTTTTCATAAGTTCAATATATATCTTTGTCTAATTGACAAGTCTCTTTATGAAAATTTACACCTGAAAAGTGATTATTACATTTTGTCATTTGCCATGAACTGACCTTACCCTGGGCACAGTTAGCTCCCCAATATCAAGCCTATGTATAAAGATGAACTTACTCCAAGTAGAGTGTCACACTCCTCAGTATCAATCCTCTGTATAAACATTAACCTAACTTCCTGGTGTCAAGCCTCCACAGGAAATTGAAATTACCCAAAGCAAAGTGATTTTCTAGGTGTCAAGCCTTTGTATGAACATGATCTTACTCTTGTTAGAGTGAACTCCCCAGTATCAATGCCCTGTATGAACTTAATCCTACCTGAATAAATAACTTCCCAACTTTTAAGTCTTAATATAAACATGAATTTACCCCAAGCAGAGTGAACTCTCCGGTATCAAACCTCTGAACATGATTTTAACTTGTGTCAAGATTCTGAAAGAACACAATCTTACCCCAGGAAGAGTGAACTCTCCAGTATCAAGCCTCTGAATGATAATCATTTCTAGGACACGTTTCCCCTCGATGACAATGTAGTCACGGTCAGATGACTCGTCACTCTTCGGTTTGTATTTCTCCTTCCAACGTGACAGCACTACAAGCACACTGTGGTTAGGTCCCCAGCGCCACAACTTGCCCCGCCCCCTGATACCAGTCCTGCCCATAGGGTTTCTACAATATTATCAATACACGGGTCAGTCAAACAGAATCTGTGAGTGCAAAATGTTGAACTTGTAATGACTTATAAACTCTGTAACGGCATAGTCAGTATATCCATGTCACATCTTGTTGTAAGCTTTTCATGGCATTTAGGTTTTTTTGTATATGTAATGGAAAGAATTTTTGTTCATTTCTAATTAAATTGATAGGTATCAGACTGCAAAATTGATAATCATTTACCGGGTCAGGAAAACCCCAGGAAAATACAAACAATTACTGACTATAGAAACAAAACAGAGAATAATAAAACTGTGTATTTATGTACATACATAGGTAGATTGGTTTTATCAACACTATAACGACATGCTGTGCTGTTCTGAGTGATCCAGGAGGCCCTATTTATTTCCACTAAAGCGTTGTTGATCTTTAATGTTGCAGCAACATTCCACATCGGGCTATACAGTGCACTATGTTGGTACTGGGCACGTATATCCTCACGACTAAGTATTTTCTCCTCGGCTGTCCGACTGATCCTGTTGATTATCACAATATAAAATATTTCAAAATTCTTAACAAAGCGTTAGAGTAAACCATGATGGAACCACACTATTTATATCTAAATACTCATAAAAAAATAAAATAAGAACATTTCAATTCTTTCCTAAAATAGTCATATCTTTTGCAGCATTGAAGAAAATGTTTTATTTCAACAATTTTTATGTCATTTAATATAGTGCCTCAATACAGAATACTTCTGTCAGGTGGATGTAATAGCTTACTGCAATGTCAGCAATTCTGTTTAGTTTATGTGTGTTATTAGCTATGCAACACTGATCCATATCTTTGTGTCCTACGTGGGACAGCTAGTTTTCCAGTCCTTTTTTTTTAAACTGTAACATGCATATTACTGTTTTGTTAGTAACAATTGTGAAGGATTTAATGCTGCTTTTTATTTGTGGTCAATAAAGACTTATTATTCATATTTTTTCATTGAAAAAGCACAAAAACACATCTCCACTAGAACATGTCTTTACAGTTTTCATTTGATATTTAAGATCCATTTTTAAAAAACTAAACCTGGTTTTTTTTCGTGGAGGGGGAGGGGAGGGGGGATGATCAACAGAGACTTTAAGGCATTCATAAATGTATAAATATAACAGATTAACTCACTGCAAGAGGTCAGGGTCCACCAGGGATTGAATGGCCTCCACAAACTCTTCTATTGGACAGGTGTACACAACAGGGTCATACCCTAGGTAAGGAACCTGCAATTTTAAAGGCAATTATGATTCATTACTAACACTCTTTCCACTATATAGGAAATTAGACGATTCAAAGTGAGACTATCTTACTTATACACAATACAACGTCTTTATCTGAGGATACATGTTACAAGCAAAATGTAAATATTTTCATGGTTTTCCAAGGCCCATCTGTTCCTCTTCCCCTTTAAATTAATCAACTTCTGTATAAAAAACGTTTTCAATTCAATTTGACTTTGTGATGTAGGAAATGTATCTAGTTTTTACTCAACTTCATCCTTGCTTCATATCTTTTTATAACATGTGAATTTAAAACATCTCAATCCATTTAAGTAACTGATGTACATCAATCTGCTGCCAAACAACACAAAACCTCTAACTGACCATAATATATAAAACCTTCCTGATGTATGCATACTAAAGAAAGTATATTTTATAAATCAACATCCTAATTTTATTGTCCTTCACTTACGTCCCAAGACACATATTTGTCAAAGACAGGAAAGCGTTGTATTTTCGTTCCTGGGTAAGGGGACTGACGACTGGATACATGAGCTACAGCCTTTTTCATGGCTACAGTTAAGTTTTTCTGTCCTGTTACAAATATACAAAAGGAATTTTTTAAAATACTACAATTAGTGCTTTGATTCCTTAACGAAATATTCATTTTGAAAATACTATGGGATGAAATCTGCTAAATACTAGAAAACAGGAATCTCAACTTACCAGAAACGTAATAAGGAGTAATCAGTACATAATAATATGTACTTCAATGACTTGATGAAAGTTTTCATTACTTAGCTGAATGAATTTTAAATGATGTGATTTCCATAGCCTTCAAACTCTTACCCTGCTGTTTATCTAGGAGGTGCTTGATTTGCTCCAACGCCAGGTTACAGGTGGTAATATTGCGTTCCATTCGTGCCATCTGCTCTGTCAACTTTCCATTGAAATGCTTCTGTTTGTCCATCTGAGCCATCAATACACCGATACTGGGGAGATAATATCAAGTATTGACAGGCAATCTTCATCCTTCAATTAAATGCTATGTAAAGTTTTGTAATAACTGTTGTTGTCTTGTCCAGCGATCTCCCAAATTTGCCAACTGGTATCTCTGAGACTTATGATCATCATTACAACATATAGTAGCTTTCTAAATGGCAGATTGATTTGACAATATTTTAGAAGAGAGTCTCATCCAGTAAATCACAACAGGGTTCCACAAAAATTAAAACCGTGGACATCCTAATTCCTGATAGATGCTCTAACCCACTAAGCTACCTCATGCTTCTTTCTTCTCAAGCCTTCATTATTCATTCAACAACCAAATTCAGGTAACTCTGTATCAAGCATACATGTAGACACACATTATATGCACATTAGGGATTGTCACAGGCCCTTATATAACAGTAAACAGAAAATTCTTCAAGCCAGATTGAAATATAAACCAAGATTCTCTGGATTTGTATAAGACACTTTTAAACCATTTGAATTAATAGGCCCTATCCCAGCCTCACTACAAATATATACTGACTCTAATAAAATGTTTGATGACACGTTCACCAGTCACATCAATTTTACGCTGTCATCAAGCACACCTACTTTTTGCTTTGTGTTTTGGGTCTCTCTAGAGCAGCTTTTTCTTGCTCTTCCATGTCCATCAGGTCCTTTATACTGCTTCTCCAGTAATTATAATCCTCTGTTCTCCGTACTTTCAGCACCCGCAGCTTGGAACTGTCCTAAAATCACATTTAAATCACAGTTATATCTATAAATCAATCAAATCAAAACTTATCACAAAAAATTAGGGTTCAAACAATATTTTAAACCTGGATATTACCAGATATTTCATTTATCTTCATTCAAAATGAATGAATGTTTGATTCTGTAATCCTTCCTCTATTATGTGTCAAGAGAAAGTGAAAAGAGAGCTGTGTGTGCTTATGTGATACATGTACCCTCAATGGTTTTTACCCTGAAATGGACAATGGGCTTAAACCAGGAGAGAAAGTATGCCAAAACACTTTAAGAAGTTGTAGATTTCAGAGAGGTATCACATCTAATCTTACCTTTTCTGTGTGTGATTTCTTCTTTTTACAGGTACAACGACAACAGCCGCGTGGCCTTCGGCAACAGAGATTGCAGCACCTATGTACACAGTGATAAAGGCCCATAGCCACCATACACAGATAGCTGAAGAAACTAAGGGGGGGAGGAAGACGAAGGCGTTCCTCAAAGTCCACAATCAGGCTGTATTTCTGAAACTTCCATATCTCCTCCGACTCTCCCCTTACTTTGGCTGTGGTTGCACTACAAATAGGTAAAAATAAAATCAAATTTAGTTACAACTACCATCAGTAATTTTTTTTTTTTGTTCTAAACTTTACATCAAAATTTAGCTCAAAACAATGTTTTGTGGGAATTTTTATTAAAGAAATGATCAAATACAGGTTGATGCTTTGAATTCAACAACAGTTCCAAAAGACATTCACCTACAGATGTTTGAATTTCAAACCCACATTTGATGAAAATAGACATATTGCTAAACACAAGTGATTTACAGGAATTGAACACTATAATAATCTGGTCTACAAAATTTCTTTCTTCCTAAACATCAAAACATTTTTTTTCCATGTTACAGCTCTACTTGTACACCTACTGTCACATATAGCAACTATCTACAAGTCCTTAAGATATAAAATACATCTACAAGAGTAGGCTTAGAAGCCTGTCAATAAGTGAATAGAGAATTAAGTGTCAGGAAATACTTTTAATCTTACCTGAATATGGAATCTTACTGGAATAGGCATTAATATAACTTACCTGAATAAGGAATAAACCTGTATGTTTACCTGAACAAGGAAAACTTATTTACACCTTACCTGAATATGCATGTACAACTTACTGGAATAGAGATTACTATCACTTGTCTGAATAAAGTTTAAACCTGCTCATCTTACCTCAATATTATGTAATAAGCATGTATGTCTTGTCTGAGTATGCAATAAAACTGCCTTTCATGATTATTGAATAAACCTTCGTCACCTTACCTAAATACAGAATATGTATGTAGTGTTGACTTCATGGAATAGGAATTATTACAACTTATCTCATTAAATAAGACAAACCTGTATGCCTTACCTGAGTTATGATTTAACCTGAATAAGGTATAAGGGTTTATCTTACCTCAACAAGATATAAATTATGCACATATTACCTTTATAGGGATTATACAACTGTTAAACTTACCTCAACAAGATATAAATTATGCACATATTACCTTAATAGGGATTATACAACTGTTAAACTTACCTGAAGAGGGCATACAGTAGAGTGATCATAACTAGTTTAGTGATGACAAAGTACTGCATTACAACCAGGTAGCCGCCCATGCTGCTGTACGGACAGAAGTCCAGTGATCTCACATCATCCCGTGTGGTACTGCCTGTATATATATCACACTACAAGTTAATATCACCAATGATATTGTCTAAATCTAGCTTTAACCTTAATTTGATTTTGTGACAAATAATTGTTTTGATCTGTTACATTGTAAGTATAAAAAGTTTGAGGGAATTGCTGATCAAGATACAGACAGGACAGTTAACAATTATCATATACATGTATATAATTAGTTACCATAGTTACCATAACAAATTTCTGGCTCCTGAGGCTGTGGAGTTATATATTCTTTCAGAGCTCCTAAATTATTTACCAGATACAAATCGTTGATTTTGCAGTTTATTCTGTATGGATTAATCTTCATTCTTACCTAAAGATATCTAACATTATACTTGATGTTTTGCCTAAAATCATCTTCAAATATTACTCTTTATCCCTCAAGTATATATTAATTGTTAAATAAAGTATTGTAAAAATGGATGACAAAGAGTATATTTAAGTTTTCTCTGTAGACACAGTGAGTCAGGCTGATTTATGATGAAGAGTATATTTAAGTTTTCTCTGTAGATACTGAGTCAGGCTGATTTATGATAAAGAGTATACTTAAGTTTTCTCTGTAGATACTGAGTCAGGCTGATTTATGATAAAGTATATACTTAAGATTTCTTTACAAACACAGTGAGTCAGGCTGATTTATGAGAAAACAGTAAAGTACTTACTAGCATTTTTGGAGAAAATATCGGGAGAGATAGCTGAAAATTAAACAAAAATTTTACCAAAACGATGAAAAATTGTGACACATCAGTAGACAATACACTTGATATCAAACTATTGTGTTCATCACTGAAATATAATATTTAGTTACTGTAATCAAAAATCAAATGTTACGTCAGATCATCGATAAACAATACACACAAATATTTCACAAGTACCAACACTTTTAATTATTCCATAATAATAAACCACATTTAGACCATATACACTCATCTTCGATACTTCAGGGGTTATTCACTGTCTGCACCCCTGGAACATGTCATGGCAAGATTAAAAGTACAAACAAAGTAATTTCATTGGTTACAGGAGAAAAAACCTGACCAATCACAAGCTGAACTCCTTCTTTTGAAGATTACAGAGGTGCAAGACCCAACTTCAAAGCTATTACAATATATCATAATGTGACCCCCACATTTGATGGATGTACATCAAAGGATCTAACAACCAGGTAGTCTTTTCGGATTGTCAACAACGTGTCATCCATGGTCATTTAAATTTCACCATGACTTGTTCCAGGGGTGCAGAGAGCACAACTTATCGTAACTCCTGGGCATTGAGGATGATATACACATTTTCAACATTTAAAAATGGAATTGTCTAATTAACTAGACAGAAATCTTTGAAAAAGAATTCTGCTGGACATGTGTCTTTCTGTTTTACACCTTCTCTTGAAATGTCTCATTCAAAGACAAAAGAGATCAGCCAAAAAATGAATAAAAAAAAAAATAAATCATTAAAAGTGAACGTGTGTACAATAGAGAATCAAGAATAAGAAAAGTATTCACACTTACCTCTACAATGGCTCAGAGAGGTGTTTTTGTACAAGTCAGAACAGGAGTCATTTCCTATGTAAGATAAACATATCAATTATCACTAATATAAACTAACAACGTTACAAGGGAACACATGTCTAAACAACAAATGAAATTAAATGTTTTTGTACAAAGAAATTGTAAGTCATTTAACCATGTTACTTCTATACAGTATAGATCATGATTCTTTTTCTTTTGATTATGACTTTATATCAACTTTCATATATGCAAATCATTAATTTAAATGTTGATCAATTACCCACTACAAATTTGTTTTTCTTCTTTTTTTTTTTGTTACAGTAATGATTTATCAACATTGTTGCATCCTCCTAGCAGCAATATGTCTTGCCTGAAAATTGTCCTTTGGGTTTACTATCCCTGTTCCGTTGACAGATTTTTAGTAATTAACAATCCATAAATCTATTTGACAGAACAATTTTATCAGTTATCAATAAATGATAAGTTTTATTATCTAACAATCTATAAATCTTTCTGACGAAGCAATTTTATTAATTAATTAATGACAGTACATACAGCAGCTTTAATATATTTGTCTTACCTTCAAGGTCATCAATCTGTGTAAAAAACATCGCAAAAAAGGCTCGTATCAGTGCCTTTTTGATGCCCTGCATGGTGAACGGATAGTTTGGGTAGAGGACAGCATGGATAGTGACACCGCCTGACACCATGATGATCACAAACATCCTCATCCATGTCAGAAAATCCTTTTTTATCTGTAAGATAACAAAGTCAAGTCTCTAATAGTGTAACAGAGATATTTCAAATTATTTATGAGAAATCAAATTTTTCTGATCCTACTGCCACTTCAAAGCTGTAATGAGACTTGTCACAATATCAAAATATGTTTAAATTAAACAATCATCTGTCATAACTTTCAAAAGCATGAATTTGAGTAGACACAACCTGCTCTGCCAGCTGACGTGTAGATACAAAATCACGTCATGACTATCATATCAATAAATACAGGAAAATCATTTTTAGGTCAAAGAACTGAATTGATAATTTACCAAAAAACATTTCTAATAAAAGAATTTGGTTCACTTGAAATCAATTTTAACATTCCTATAATGTATAATGCTGCTACATGATGATGCAATTGAATCAAAAAGTTACAAGTAGTAAAACCCAATCTAAAACAATATCTAACATTTATTTTAAAAATTCAAACATTGATGTTAATTAGTTAAAACACTGACTGCATAGCATCTAATGAATCTACTTATGGGTTGCAGAACTAATTTAAACAACAAAACAGCATTCTAACAGCTGAGACTATCTGCATAAAAAGCACACAACTTTTCTTTGCTGTTCATTCAAAAACTCGACTTTGAGGCAGAATGCCAGTAAATGTTCAAGTAGCACATTCCAAGTATTTGCAGCCTCAAGCTATCTGTACCATACCTGATACTGGTACTTGGAATGCCTAAAGTCTAGTATACCTAAACAAATAAAACAAGGTTTCTGATAAATAAATCTTGTAACATATACACAAAGTGAATTTTATTGTGGGTAAAAAGATCAGAAATCCTGTGAAAAGTAATGAATATAAACCCATTGTACTGAAATTAGTTTCAATATCATAGATTTCAGTAAAGTAATTTGATTATTTTGATTAAGATAATAAAGAATAAATTAAAATTTTTCAACATTTCTTCTAGGAATGTAACACTGGTAAATACCAGCTGCAATATACCGCTCAGCTAGAGAGAACTTCTCTTTAATTCGATTGGTTGAGTGTCAGACTAGTAAGCCAGAGGTTTGAATCCTAGCAAAGGCATTGATATAGATAATTACCTTTAATTTATGACAGTCTATGTAAGGCAGTAATAAAATTCTACTGGTACCAAACTGACAGATAAGTACTTCATGACAAGCCCTTTTGTGACTGGGCAAGTGAGTGTTGGCTTTAAAACATTGTTGTAAATGTTTTAGAAATGTCAATTAAATAAGATTATATCATTCAAATTATCACAATACAATTGTTTTAATTATCTTTTTAAAATTAATGTCCTCTTTGGCTACAACAAAGATTAATCTAACAAGATACCTGATGTTGATTTCCCTGGGGCAAGTAGAAGTGTTCAAATATAATCTACATCTTAGCTACGTTTTCAAGTGCAGTTTCTCATTCAAAACATTTTAGTGACATTGAATACTGTTGACTGCCAAATTGTTTATATTGGAAACTGTAAGACGATGGTTTTAACAAAGTTTGGTTTTAGCATATAAGGGAAAAGTAAACAAAAAACATAAAGGCTAATGTTGTTGATGATAAATTAAGAAACTAGAAAGGGGTATGAGCAAAACAGTTAGGTGATTTCAACAAAACTGGTTAAAGAGTTCCTGAGATTAGCTTATGATGAAAGGGAACCAGGTGGTATAGTATGTTTTGTCAAATTTGTCAAAATTTTGGTTCTTTGGCTGACAAATTGTGTTCATGTTGTATTGGAACTTCAACCTATCAGAAAGATGATCAAGTAATGAAATCTGATACTAGCTTAAAAGTTTGGACAAGTGCATTTAACAAGCATTTTACATTTGTGGTTTTTTTTAAAATCCACAACTGGACAAGAGAGAAAAAATGTTAATGTCAGGCCCTGAATCATGACTGAAATACCAGTCACTGGCAAATTCAACTCAGGTTATTTATCCACCAATAAACCCACATTTCGTAAGCTCTCTTCTACTGGAACTCTTCAGTACTGATTAGAGTTATTAACTAAGGCTAATTAGTTGTCCTGTGATAAGCCCACAACCTAACATTCCTGTGATAAGCCCTCTACCTAACATTGGTTCAGAGGTAATGTTTTCAACACCTGGGCACATTGTAGGTTATATGAAATATACAGTATAACACAGACATGTTAAGTTACTCTATGATTTAGTCCAACCAAAATGACTCGTATTGTTCAACTTTGTGTAATATTCCGATTTGGCAGACGCAGTTGCTTTCTGGTTTTCCAATCTGATAAACTACAATCATCAAGCTTTTGGGTGCAGAAAACATCTACTGAGATTACACATAATGATGTTTTAACTGTAATATAGATTTCTTCTGTGACAGATCTATCTATGTTTTCTATACTATGAATTCAGATTCTTCTGTATAGTATATGAGTATATGAGTATACCTATCAAAAGGTCAAATCAGGAGAACAGGAGATCTCTTGTTTGAAAGTCTTTCACTAAGTAGATATCATTCATCATTTTACTCGGAAAATTAGTCCTGTCTTCTTATTAGAATCTTACTTGATATCTACTGCAATCAACTCAAGAATAAAACATTAAGTAAAGAATGATAGATTCTATTTCGACATCTCCAGTAAGTCTCCAAAATGTTACCTAGAGATTCACCAGACTGAAATAAGCTGGAGGCTCCAGTACAAGACTGGAGAATTTGACAAATATATATATATATATACAGTAATGGAAGCTCCAGCGGAAGACTGGAGAATTTGACAAGTATATGTATACAGTAAATGGCGGACAACAAGATGAGTCATTGTGGTCGGACTTCAGTGTAGATCAAGTTACTGACCATTCTGCGGATGTTGATGAGCATCGGACCAAGGACAGGACTGATGGGAAGAAACACCTGTAGAGTTCTGTAGTAGAAGTATAGGAGACCCAGACTCATGACAAACTTAGTGGTCATGTAGTCAATATAGCTGACAAAGTGGGGAACGATCCGCACCAGACAGAAAGTAATCAAAAAGATTCCGATCAGTCCAATCTCTATCTTGGTCCAAAACAGATTGATCTCCAGGTATTTCTGCAAACAGATTATAAGTTTAAGAAACAACAAGAGTTCTAGCAGCCTTGACCGTCACCTGAGATAAGCAATATTGAATATAAAGATTAAAGGGTAGTTTTCAAGTGTTGTGAAAAAGAAATTGTGACACTGAATATAGTAAGCCAATGATAATACATGCATACCATCAATACTGTTATCTTATACTAATAATTCTTACAAAGTTATTTCCAGAGGGAAATACCAATGTAATGTTCAAAAATACAATTTTTCTATGACAATTTAAGTGACGTAAAGTTTATAAAATATTCCTCCCGAGGAAGAAATATGAGACCCATTTTGGTAATTTAGGCACCTTAAGATGCTTCCACTCATACAGAGCATTTGATTCTATCATATCTGAAGGTTGAGAAAGAAGATTTTTGAAATTCAATTAAGTTTGTCCCCTTTTAGCCCTGCCTATCAGTCCTTGGGGGTCAGCCAGGATCAATATATGCATACTATTAAGTCATCATCCTTCAGTCATAATTCTAACTAAATTTGAAATATTTCCAATGGAAATTAAAGAAATAAAGCTCAAAAATCAATTTTGCATATGTACTTTTTAGTAAACTTTACCACCTCTCCACGAGGAAATTTGAAAACCTTACACCATAAAATTCACAATTTTCATAAAGAACCTAAGATACTTCCATCCATGAAGAGCATTTGATTCTACCATATCTGGAGGTTGAGAAGATTTTTAAAATTTGAATCAATTTGACCACTTCTGGCACCACCCATCAGCCCCTGGGGGTCAGTCAGGATCAATATGGGCATACCATTTAGCCGTCATTCTTCACTCATAATTCTAACCAAGTTTGAAATATTTCCAAAGGAAATTAAACAATTTATGCTCAACAATCTTGTTTTCCTATATAAACTATAGTAAACTTTACCCCCTCCCCACAGGGAAATGTGAGACCCTGGGGCCATAAAATTCACAAATTTGATTCATCCTAGGCAAGGGAAGGTTTCAGCACAATTTCAATGAAATTGGATCAAGAGGTTTTGAGAAGAAAATGTTAAATTGTTTATGGACACACAATGCCAGATGAAGGTGACTGCAATAGTAGTCTAAAAACTTATCCTTTCACAAAGTTTTAATGCTATTGTTTTTTAAATGTAGTCTATGTTTGCCCATGTAGCATGAAATTTTGATAAAACTAGTTTGATATGTGTCCATACAGGTATGAAAAAACGAAGAAAATCAGAAAAACATTGATGACGGTTTGAAACATCTGAATCAAGCTTTCGGGACAATAGATATGAACTCCGACACAGTATATGCTAGATTAATCTTTTAGAAATTTCAGCTATCACCTGATCCTATATTTTCAAGTTTTTGATACTTTGATATCAAATATTTACCTTTTTCTTTGCTAGAACACCACGTACTAGTTCGACCCATATCAATGAAGTCCAGCCAAATACAACAAAATCCATATGTAGGTTACCACAGGAGGGAAACAGAACAGCTAAACTGAAGATTGTCAGGTACAGTATGTAGAACAGCTGAAAGATAAGACCATTAAATAAATCATTTACTAACAAGAGGGCCATAGCCCTTAACAGTCATCTGACAATCAATGAATGGATAATAAACCTCAGAATTTGCTGGTGGTCATCTGACAAACCTTATTAATTAAGGAAGAGTAGCATTTTGAAGCAAAATCATTGACTAAATTTCCCTTTTTGTGCCCCGTCCCCAAGTCCCTAGAGGTCGAAATCAACTCTCTGAATTTAAGAAATGATTATCCACTTTCAGTGATGTTTCAGACCAAATTTGGTTGAAATCCATCCAAGCATTAAGGAAGAGTAGCATTCAGCAGCAAAATATTGACTAACTTTCCCATTTGAGAACCAGCACCTAAGTCTCTAGAGGTCAAATCAACTTTCTGAATTTAAGAAATAATTCCCCACCCCAAATGATGTTTCAGACCAAATTTGGTTGAAATTAGACAAGGCCTAAAGTAGCAACAAGAACAGGTCATCTCGACCCTTTGGGTCAGACAACCTAAAAAATCATCACAAAAATTTCAATTCCTGAAAAGGATGACAAATTAAGTTGGAAAAAAGGACTAAATCAATAATGACTTTCTCCTTTTTTCTGAAAATTTTTTCAGATGCAACCTTGCACAAACCTCCAGTTCTCTAACTGCCAAAGACCACATCATTTCATCAATTGATTTATTACTATTTTGTTACTATTTTGATCAACAATTATCACAGTTCAGTCAGTAAATTGGAGATATCATCATCATTGTATCTAACCAGTAAGTACTTTGAAGGTCATAATGAAATATCTGAAGGTCAAATTGTACCTGGCTGATCCAGAACTTGGTTATTGGTGCACTGTACAGGTAGTAAAACTGCATGTGGACTGGAACGTTGAGGTTTTGTCGGCCATAGGACAACATCTTTCTCATCTGGTACTTCACACTGTGGCGCTTTTGTTGCTGTTGAAAATTTTAAAAAGAGTAGTGAAATATACTAAACCATTTAGAAATGAACATGAGGAGATGATACATGATATACCCATCATCTGTTGATTACACTGACAAATTAAGGTACAATATTCCAGAGGCTACTAGTATTGTAGTATCACATTATTACCTTGTATATCTATCTTTAAGTTACCTTGACTTAATGACCTTGAACTTTTTATGGAATTGCTCTAAAACAGGTACCTTTTTTAAATAAATGCTATCTCAGAAAGTTTGGTGAACACAAGATGAGGTAAGAAATGGTTAAGTGATTGAACAGAATACTGCAAACGTACTTATTTTGACTATCAGCACAGTCATATTTTAGCACTACACTTTGAGCAGGAAATGCACTAAAATAAGATTGCCACTAAAAATATAAATTGATAGCACAGATTTATTTCCTTTCGTATCAGCTAGTTTACACAGCACAAGAATTATAAACGTAAAGATGAAATTTTGAAACTATCAATTCCTGTGGGAGTCATCTTAGCTTTGTCCTAAATCATTTACATATCCTCCCCCTATCTTATGAATTTGGTGTGTCGTGTATCATTTTACTTGATATTAATCTCCGATGATAACAAACTGTTATTCATTACCCATTTCTCGCCTTGTAGTGATGATGGTTGTAACATGGCTGCCTCATCTGGTGGCATCTCATCATCAGAGTCATCTATAACAACACAACACACTGCTCACAACACAATGTAACTTACATAATGTAGCTTACACCATGTATCTTACACAACGTAACTTACACAATGTAAATTGCACAACGTAACTTACACAACGTAACTTACACAATGTAACTAACACAATGTAACTTAAACAATGTAACTTACACAGACAATAAATAGTATTTTGGAAAAGATGCAAACTGCAAAAACATGTTTAGCCAATTTCATCAATATTATTAATTACTAATACATTAATGATTTGGTATTCCAACAACACAACTAGCGCTATGATTTTGGGAATAAAAGCACTGAAAGTATATTGGATTTACATCTGCCAGTAATGAATGTTTTCAAAGAGGGAAGATATCAAACGATACAAATTACGGTATAAATATACAGTTTCTACCTAATCATTTTTCTCATCAACTGATTCAATCAAACAATTATTTCTTAAAACAAACAAACGTATTTATGATGTAACATCCACAGATCTTGAAAAAGCTCCACAAATGATAATCTTTATTTTTCATTGAAATTTTACAGTTAACTCTTCTACCCGTAAATATAGAAATAAATCAAAATTCAGGAAAAAAACACATGTTATTTTCAAACTAATGAAGTATCACTAATTAGATTTGATTCTTTCTTTTGAGTGTCAACTTTTGCCTATGAACTAATCCATATCACCAGTAACATTACAGTATCACCAGTATTACAGTATCACCAGTATTACTGTATCACCAGTATTACAGTATCACCAGTAACATTATAGTATCACCAGTATTACAGTATCACCAGTATTACAGTATCACCAGTATTACAGTATCACCAGTATTACAGTATCACCAGTATTACAGTATCACCAGTAATATAACTGTATCACCAGTATTACAGTATCACCAGTATTACAGTATCACCAGTAATATAACTGTATCACCAGTAACATTACAGTATCACCAGTAACATTACAGTATTACAGTATCACCAGTAACATCACAGTATCACCAGTAACATTACAGTATCACCAGTAACATTACAGTATCACCAGTAATATAACTGTATCACCAGTAACATTACAGTATCACCAGTAACATTACAGTATCACCAGTATTACAGTATCACCAGTAACATTACAGTATCACCAGTAACATTACAGTATCACCAGTAACATTACAGTATCACCAGTATTACAGTATCACCAGTAACATTACAGTATCACCAGTAACATTACAGTATCACCAGTATTACAGTATCACCAGTAACATTACAGTATCACCAGTATTACAGTATCACCAGTATTACAGTATCACCAGTAATATTACAGTATCACCAGTATTACAGTATCACCAGTATTACAGTATCACCAGTAATATTACAGTATCACCAGTATTACAGTATCACCAGTATTACAGTATCACCAGTAACATTACAGTATTACAGTATCACCAGTAACATTACAGTATCACCAGTAACATTACAGTGTCACCAGTAACATTACAGTGTCACCAGTAACATTACAGTATCACCAGTAACATTACAGTATCACCAGTATAACAGTATCACCAGTATTACAGTATCACCAGTATTACAGTATCACCAGTATTACAGTATCACCAGTAACATTACAGTATCACCAGTAACATTACAGTATCACCAGTAACATTACAGTATCACCAGTAACATTACAGTATCACCAGTAACATTACAGTATCACCAGTAACATTACAGTATCACCAGTAACATTACAGTATCACCAGTATTACAGTATCACCAGTATTACAGTATCACCAGTAACATTACAGTATCACCAGTATTACAGTATCACCAGTAACATTACAGTATCACCAGTATTACAGTATCACCAGTAACATTACAGTATCACCAGTAACATTACAGTATCACCAGTAACATTACAGTATCACCAGTAATATAACTGTATCACCAGTAACATTACAGTATCACCAGTATTACAGTATCACCAGTAACATTACAGTATCACCAGTAACATTACAGTATCACCAGTAACATTACAGTATTACAGTATCACCAGTAACATTACAGTATCACCAGTAACATTACAGTTTCACCAGTAACTCATCAGTAACATTACAGTATCACCAGTAACTCATCAGTAACATTACAATATCACCAGTAACATTACAGTATCACCAGTAACATTACAGTATCACCAGTATTACAGTATCACCAGTATTACAGTATCACCAGTAACATTACAGTATCACCAGTAACATTACAGTATCACCAGTAACATTACAGTATCACCAGTAACATTACAGTATCACCAGTATTACTGTATCACCAGTAATATTACAGTATCATCAGTATTACAGTATCACCACTAACATTACAGTATCACCAGTAACATTACAGTATCACCAGTAATATAACTGTATCACCAGTATTACAATATCACCAGTAATATAACTGTATCACCAGTATTACAGTATCACCAGTAACATTACAGTATCACCAGTAACATTACAGTATCACCAGTAACATTACAGTATCACCAGTATTACAGTATCACCAGTATTACAGTATCACCAGTAACATTACAGTATCACCAGTATTACAGTATCACCAGTAACATTACAGTATCACCAGTATTACAGTATCACCAGTAATATTACAGTATCACCAATATTACAGTATCACCAGTAACAGTATCACCAGTATTACAATATCACCAGTATTATTACAGTATCACCAGTATTACAGTATCACCTGTATTACAGTATCACCAGTATTACAATATCACCAGTAATATAACTGTATCACCAGTATTACAGTATCACCAGTATTACAGTATCACCAGTAACATTACAGTATCACCAGTATTACAGTATCACCAGTATTACAGTATCACCAGTAACATTACAGTATCACCAGTATTACAGTATCACCAGTATTACTGTATCACCAGTATTACAGTATCACCAGTAACATTACAGTATCACCAGTAACATTACAGTATCACCAGTATTACAGTATCACCAGTATTACAGTATCACCAGTATTACAGTATCACCAGTATTACAGTATCACCAGTATTACAGTATCACCAGTATTACAGTATCACCAGTAACATTACAGTATCACCAGTATTACAGTATCACCAGTATTACAGTGTCACCAGTATTACAGTATCACCAGTAACATTTCACAGTATCACCAGTAACATTACAGTATCACCAGTAAAAATAAATAGCTCATCTACTCTACAGTTTACATAGAAGAAATCATATTCTTTATACTAGCACTACACAAATGCCATTACTCCAGATGTATTGCTTGATGTAACAAGAGGCCCACAGGCCTTAACGGTCATCTGACTCAGGCCAATGCTTGTTGAAATCCACTCAGGCAGAAAGAAAGAGCAGTGTTTTAAATCTTTTATTAGCACCTAGCCATTTGGAGCCCCGTCCCTTGACCCCCTTGCGTTCAAATCAAAATTCTTAATTTCAGAAATGATGACCCCCACCAAACGATGTATCAGACTAAATTTGGATGAAATCCACCCAGGTATGAAAGAGGAGTAGGTTAAAGAGAGAGTTTACGAACGAAGCACGATGATGGACAAAGCACAATGGCTACAGACCATTTGGGCCAGATGACCTAAAAATTGATAAACAGTATCTGTCACTCCTAGATGCTGAAAACAAAGTCTCAGCACCAGATTTTCAAGAGTGTTGTATCACACTTAGAAATAAAACCCTGAAGAGAAATGAGAATGAAATAATTTACACAGACAAAATGGAATTAAAACTTAAATCAATTTTATCATTCCAATACTAGAACAATACTAGACAAATCAGATCAAATCTTGTTAAAATTTACTCTGGCATTAAAGAGGAGTAACAATCTGAAGCAAATTATTGACTAACTTCTCCTTTTGAAGCCCAATGTCTTTAGGGGTTGAATCAACTTTCTGAAGTTAAAAGATGATAACCGACCAACAATAATGTTTCACACAAAATTTGGTTGAAATCTTTCCAGTCATTAAGAAGGAGTAGCATTTTTAGAAGCAAAATATTGCCTAATTTCCCCCTCTTGGGCCCCATTGTATTCAGATTTCTTATCTTATAGAATAAATGTAATCCCATTTCTAGGAAAACATCTGTACATTCTGACAACCCTGCTCATCTGACCAGTATGTTGTTGCCAGGATGTCTGATTAGAAAATTTCATAACATTTGAAGATCAATTCTTTTTCTTTAAACATCACATACATTGCAGATTCCCGAACTTTGCGCTTGGTATCCAGGTCACGGCACCAATTCTTTGACAGGTTGTTCCAGATCATGCTGACAATAAGTGCCATCACCATGGGGTCTTCCGTCCTCTTCCACAGGACCTTCGTCAGTTCAGCATTGAAGGTTATAGCAGCCCAGAATACTAATGTGTTGAGAGCCTATAATTGAAGAGATCACAGTGAGATCAGATAACTATTTAAATGACGTTGAATATACATTGATAATGAATATTGAATAGCTCATCAACTGACTGTAAGAAAACAGACATCATGAATGTTCTGTCTATCTCTTTTGAGAGAAAGAATGTTAACAATTTACACATACCTTGAGAGGAATCAAAATTCAGCTGATCACTATGGTTAAACTTGTCCACATTAGAGTAACATGACTTACCCTCCTCTCTGCGACCTCTTGATCCGTGATGTATGACCCTACAGAGTTCATTGACAGTTCATATGATGACACTAGGTGTTGTAGATAGGTCACTCGGTACAGTAGCCGGTTAAATTCACAGTCATCACCAATGACAAAATCCTTGTCCACTGGATAGGCAGAATACTGGAATACAGTGAAATATACTGAAATGTCAGTCATGGATGACTCAAACATCCTATTTTACTGAAAGAATGGAAGAAAACAATTTAGTAGAAATAATATTTGAATATAAATTTTATTCCTTTTCACAAGAATTGTGACAGCCAGAAGTTTATGTTAATCTTTAATCACTCACAAAATCTAATAACTTTAAAAATCTATGTCTTTGACTTGACTGTTTATGGATCAACAGTACCCATCAATTCAAGAAAAATTTATCCACAATCATTGACTTTACAGTGCTAGTCTACTAAGTATTTAAAATAAAATATACATGTATTAAAATTGATGTGGCCAATTTTCTACATTATACAATATTTCCTCAATAGTTGAGCACTGGTATATAACTATTGATAGTAAAGAAAGTATAGCACATTTGCTATATCGTGTAAGTACAATATAAAAAGATAAGCACTTTTTTCTCAAAAATACAAGAAATTGTATCGAAATGATGGACAATGGAAAGGTGGAATTTTCCCTTCCTATGTTGAATCATTTTAACAGAATGTGGTACCAGTATTTATAGACAAGCTAGGACGGGAGCTTGAGGTGGCATCATAATGTGAGAATAATGATAGCTATTGAGTGGCAGGTATGAGACTCACCGAAGCTTTCGCTAGTACTCCATCAAGACAGACAGTGAGAAAGAACTCCTCATTCTCCAGATTGTTAAATAAGTACAGTAGCTTTCGATGATTGAGATATTTGTGGACTTGAATGGCATCCCTTGAGAGAAACAGATCGACAAAATCTTCACGTCCTTTCTTCAACAAGGCACGGTCAAACAGCTCATGGGTTATCTGCAAGCAGGTTGTTTTTACTTAAAGAAAACCCATGTATCTTTACATTTCATATATTTTCTCTTCTAATCTAATATATATATATATATAAATACCAGTCATAATACACGGATTACAATAGAAAAATCCACTAGTTTCAGGGATAATCTGCCCAATTTATGTAATTTCTGGCTGTTCTAATGACTTTTAATCCTATTGTTAGCATCAAAAATCTCTCCTGTGGTCAGTTTGGACAGGCAATATTGGTGGGAATACTCCTAGCCAAACTGTCTAAATATAGCACATAGGGAAATCCAGAAATGAACGGTAAATAACTTTATGCAGAGTAATGGGTAAATACACAGGTGTGTAGGCTGTTCACTAAAATTTCTGTTTGGGTTACAATTATATTACTTCGATAGTCTTATTTTCTGTTGATTTTATAATCTAACGATAATTAACTATTTTGATTATAAGCTCTCTGTACAGACATCTTTTTAGTGATTACTTTTCTGTTGTGAATAAATCAATGGGTCAAACTGACTTCTCTGGTGTGTGGAGGTCAACATGTCCTACATGTGATATTTGATCATGTATATAACAATCAGTTTAGCTGATATAATCCTACATATGACACTGTAGGTATATTTCAGGCCTAGTTTCTGGACATTATATAATTTAGAAATGAAAGCATTGTATGTTGACCTTTGATCTTGTCAGTGTTTTGTCCTCCAGGTTTACCTGCTAAAAACACTTGAAACAAACCTTGATTCTTGCCCAGTCATATTTTTGAAAAATTTGGGACACAGCAAGGTCACATCTGTTCCAATCCAAGGTCAACTTGAGGTCACACTGGAATTGCTCTTGAAACTTTCTGCCACGCTTCAGTGCCTGAGCTGTACAGATTTAATAATTCTGCCAAATCATTTTAACATCAAATAATTTATGTGACAACAAAATTGCAGCAACATGAAGTGATGATGCATTATGAATGTTTGTTTCTTTACTTTTTTTTCAAATTTTCACCCTGAACTCATTTCTTTTTTGACAGTTTTGAAAGTTTGTATGAATGTTTAAGAAGAAAATATAAAGCATTATGGTATTCACAATAATGATACGTACACTCAAACAAAGCCAGTAGTAGGTACTTGTCGAGATTCTTAAGGTCTGAGGAAGCGCCACCTGTTGGCAGGATGGTCAGAAACTTCTGTTCTCCCTACAGAATGACAAAAGGAAGCAGTCATAAGGATTTAACTTTTTCTTTATCTTAAGTTTATTCCTAGGATTTTTGTAAATGTATTTGTATCATAATATGAACATTTCTGCGATAGTTACAGAACACTTGACCTATTGTAAATGTCCATTCTCACAGTACAGGTATACCTGATGAGCATTCTGAGCACACTCCAGTATTTTATCCCGACACCGGTTCCGAGCAATCTCATCTTCTTTGAATTCAGCTGGAAAGTACTTCATCAGCTTTTTGATCAGTTCTGGTTTGATGTAGGACTCGATATGTTCAGCATGGGGTCTGTCAGACGAATGTTACAAGAAGACATGTAATTTGCTTGCCAGCTTTTTAAAATGGTATGATTAAAGGTATCAAATATTAAATTTTCTCAAATGAATGAAATGAATTGAAAAGCATTTAAACAATGCATAGATACCTGTTATGTATTAACTACAGTGTATTGAGTATAATTCTTAATATTTCATTACCAATACCAATGTTTCCTTTAATAACAAACCACCTAGACATACCATTAGCTTGTAAAAATGTTAAAGTCTGAAAATTTGATATACTTTTACTTTGTAAGAAAGATAATCTACCAAATAAAAATGGATGAAAAAAACAAAACAAGAGGTCCATCGACCTTAACGGTCACCTGAGGTCTTCAGGTCCTAGGACTGTCCATCAGTCCCAGCATTGGGGCAGACAGAACAGAACTGATATATACATACTTACAAAGTTTCTCTTGTTTCTAAGTTTGAAGACTTAGTTTTCAAATAAACGGAGCTGATAACACTCTCTATCATTGAGGTTTAGCATATTTGACCTCTGTAACCCTGAATGAAGGTCAATATCATTTATATGAACACACATGATAACCCTTCATTCAAGAATGCTACTGGTGCAATATCATGACCTTGGGCCTCGGGGTTATTGAGGAGAAGTTGTTTAAAGATTTTGACATGCTTTATACATGTGACCTTGAAAGTGGGTCAAGGTCAACAATATGAACAAACATAGCAGCCCTTTATACCAGCATATGACAGGCCTAATATCAGCACCCTGGGCCTTTAGATTAATGTGAAGAAGTTGTTTAAATATTTTGACATATTTCATATCTATTACCTTAAAGTGGGTTAAGGTCAACAACATGAACAAACTTAGTAGCCCTTCATACCAACATGCTACAGGCTAAATATCAGCACTTTTGGTCTTTTGATTATTGAGAATTCATTTAAAGCTTTTGACATATTTGACATCTTTGACCTTGAAAGTAGGCCAAGGACAATAACATGAACAGACTTGGTAGCACTTTATCCATCATGCTACTGGCTAAATATCAGCATCCAGTTCCTTTTGTTTATTGAGAAGTCATTTAAACACATTCGAACCCCTGTGACCTTAAAAAGGGTCAAGGTCATTTATCTAAACAAAATTGGTAGCCCTCCACCCCTGCATACTACAGACCCAATATCAGCACCCAGGGCCTTTGGTTATTTAGAAAAAGTCGAAAATTTCAATTGTTTACTACACATGACGCCGGACAAAAGGAGATCACAATAGGTCACTAGAGACTTTGTCTCAGGTTACCTACAAAATAAATGAAAATTCAGGAAATAGATCTTTCATTGATGATTTTGGGGGGAAATAAAACACAAGCTATCCTGGTAAAAGGTGAATATATCATGCACAGCATCAACCAACCACCAGTAAAAGTAAAAGGATATGGCATATTGCTGGTACCATTGATAGTCCAAGCTTTCCTCAATGACTGAAAAGACTACTTTATCAATGGTATACAAAAAGGCTTGAATCTAAAGCAATATTTTTCATCCCTCTCAAAGGTTGTCTTTAAAAGACTAATACATACAAAAGTAGGTAAAATGTTAAATATTTTACCTACAACGCATCTTAAGAGATGAAGAAACAGTGACCTTGACCTTGTATTTGTAAAAGGGTATTCGTTACGTTTTATAAGCAAACCTGAAATATCATTCACATTATGATAAAGAATGTATCTTTATTAAAGGACATACTCAAAGTCACTTTAAACTTTGATTTCTCTTCCCAAATAGCATGGTTCTTACCTCATCGTGAGAAGTTGTTTTTTCTGTGAAATTTCATAAGTTTATAATTAAATTCAATTACTTTGTATTCTTTTGCTCTAATCAAACATTGAACATAACTTGGTGGTTAGCATGTTCTTATCCATAAATCATAAGATATGTGTACCATACGTCAATATTTGTTTCTACATATATTTTTGATTACATGGGTTGTATGTGGACCAGTTTGTTAATGTACTTACAGTTTCAAATTCAACAAATTGTTATTGAGGAGTCATCAAATAGCTATAATTGCTGCAGGGGAACCTATTAGTACATTAGCTCTCAATGTTCACCACTCTTAAGAAAAATGAAATACCAGCTTCATGTTTAAAGTATCCAGTATCATCTTAAAACAGCTTCCCATTGTGAAATTCTAAAATATCTATTAATCTTGTGAAACAGACCCTCAAAAAACTGTCATTTTATATCAGTCATTTCAGCAAGGAGTTACCTTTCTTGAATTTCAAGATAAGCAAAGGAAATAAGGTCAGCTGCAAGTCCTGTCCCTTTCATGACTACAACAGGTACATTCCTCTTCAACAGTTCTGCCACATGGTCCATCTCTAAAGGGCCACCCTGAACCAGTAGGCCAACCATCGGCGTACATGTACTACTGATAATCTGTAGGTCATCCGGAACAGACTCTCCCACATCTAAATCATTAATATTGAAATTTTAAGTTACAATCACTTTAGTTTGATATTCAGTACTTCTTAGAAAACTTTTTTTTAACATCCAATAACTTCTTTGTAAATAAATTTTCTATTGTTCTATTGACTGTAAAAGGTACTTACTTCTACAATATTTTAGTGAGCAGCTAGTCTGAAGTATTCTGAAGTTCTGTCAACCTTTTTGTTGCCAGTCTAAAGTTGATGAATTAAGAAATCATTCAGACTTGTCAGTGATACCTAGTGATACCTAGTGATACCTAGTGACACTTAGTGATACCTGGTGATACCTAGTGATACCTAGTGATACCTAGTGATACTTAGTGATACCTAGTGATACCTAGTGATACCTAGTGATACTTAGTGATACCTAGTGATACCTAGTGACACTTAGTGATACCTAGTGATACCTAGTGATACCTAGTGATACCTAGTGATACCTAGTGATACCTAGTGATACCTAGTGATACCTAGTGATACTTAGTGATACCTAGTGATACCTAGTGATACCTAGTGATACCTAGTGATACCTAGTGATACCTAGTGATACCTAGTGATACCTAGTGATACTTAGTGATACTTAGTGATACTTAGTGATACCTAGTGATACTTAGTGATACCTAGTGATACCTAGTGATACTTAGTGATACCTAGTGATACCTAGTGATACCTAGTGATACCTAGTGATACTTAGTGATACCTAGTGATACCTAGTGATACCTAGTGATACCTAGTGATACCTAATGATACCTAGTGATACCTAGTGATACTTAGTGATACCTAGTGATACCTAGTGATACCTAGTGATACCTAGTGATACCTAGTGATACTTAGTGATACCTAGTGATACCTAGTGATATCTAATGATACTTAGTGATACCTAGTGATACTTAGTGATACCTAGTGATACCTAGTGATACCTAGTGATACCTAGTGATACCTAGTGATACCTAGTGATACTTAGTGATACCTAGTGATACCTAGTGATACCTAGTGATACTTAGTGATACCTAGTGATACCTAGTGATACTTAGTGATACCTAGTGATACCTAGTGATACCTAGTGATACCTAGTGATACCTAGTGATACCTAGTGATACTTAGTGATACCTAGTGATACCTATATTCCAGATATAATCTATTTGTGTTTTACGGAGAAAATATACAGTGTGAAAGTAATTAAGGGTAAAACATCATATTTCTGCTATTTGACATTTCCTCTTTAGATAAATTCATTATGACTTATGGAAAACTATTGCTCTGATTTGATTTGCATCCATTTGACACCTTTTGTCAAAAGGGTTGAAACAAAAGATGTGCTGAAGTTTTAATTTACAGCTAAAATATTTCATATGCATTTTAGCGATGAAAATGGGTGAAAATGAACTATTATCCTAAAGGGACAAAAATAGATACAGGAGTGAAATTTTCTACATGTACTATCATATCATCAGACCATCACTACAAATAATTATAATTACACCATACGATACTGTAAATGTACAGCTTACATGTGTCTTAATGGGAAGCGTATTTTAGCAGTTTTCTGACTACAGATATTGCACTAAAATATAATTGTGCTAATTGTATTTTCTGTAGGTCATTTATACATTTATAGCAAACATTGTGAATACAATGTATGTAGTTTTGTCATTATATATATCTGTTCACAAATGATATTGGGCTAAAATTTGATTATATTTGCAGTACCAGTATAGAACGTACTTAATACTGAGTCACTCAGATTGGTATCGAACTTACTTAATACTGAGTCACTCAGATTGGTATAGAACTTACTTAAAACTGTGTCACTCAGATTGTTATAGAGCTTAATTAATACTGAGTCACTCAGATTGGTATAGAACTTACTTAAAACTGAGTCACTCATATTGGTATAGAACTTACTTAATACTGCGTCACTCAGATTGGTATAGAACTTACTTAATACTGAGTCACTCAGATTGGTAGAGAACTTACTTAATACTGAGTCACTCAGATTGGTGATTTTCCTATATCGTTTTGGTCTTCCTACTGGTGTAAGAAACCGCTCCTCAAGTTTGATTCGGAAATTTTCAAGCTCACGTAGGTCAGTGACACCCTCCAGCATAATGTAGTGGGTGTGGTCAGAATTGAGCTCCTGTTTGTCTGACAAGGGCTTCTGGCCTTTATTTTGGATGTTCACAGGACCTTCCTGAAAAACCAATCAATTTACAACTCTCATCATCTCCATACACAGGTGGGGGTATACATGCTGTGGGCTGTGAAGATATGGAGTTTACCATATGAACACCATGTTACAGAAACTCTAATGGCTATAATGTTGGGCCAGATATTTGACAAGGACCTACTCCATCAGTGACCAAACTATCCCTTTTCTATAAAAGAACTAAAGAAAAAGCTGTTGCTCTGTATTTTACACCATGGACAACTCATAAATGTACATGATATACTGTCAAGTCTTCATATATACATTAATATGTAACACTCTATATCAAATCAATCTTCAGGAATTGAATAGAAATTTTTTTTATCACAATCAGTTAGAGAATTATATGTGATGTTTTGATGACTACACTATCACCTTCATTAGATATATGACCAGTGTGAACTTTAAAACATATTCCTACGTACTAAAAATGGGGAAAAGAGCCAACACCCTTTCAATATGTAGGTAGGGTCCTTAGGTAGTATATCAATGGAAAATTGATACCACAAGTATATCAAAGTTGAAAGATTTTACTTTTCAATTTTCAGACACATATCTTGTTACTGCACTGTCGTCATCTGTCTTGAAATCTTGCAGAATGTTGTTGACAGTTACAGTCCATTTTAACAACTCCAGCACATGAGATTCAAAGATTCGTAAATATGATAAAACCTATTGCAGGATCAACAAGATACACTTTGGTACTTACTGCAGAATCAATTTTTGAGTTGTAGGAAAGAAGACATTTAGGCACTACCCCTATCACAGTCAGCTTGGGAAGGCTTTCTTGCTTTTGGTTATTCACAAATTTCATGGACATTTTGGTCAGGCTCGGAATTTTACGTCGTTGTTTCTCCTCCTTGAAGGCATCTCCTAAAATTTTTGTGATTCCTCCATCAAACCCATTAGTTAATATCCACATCTCTGTGGTATTGGCTGCCTACAAACGTATAAAAAAATTAGGATTGAAGTAAAATTACTGGATACATATAGCATCAGGAACTTCAATGGTTTTCTTTCAATATATATGTGCATGTTATTGATTATACTGAAAAACTTTTTACAAAATCTGCTATGATATTGAAGAATATCCAGCAGGATACCACGGAGTTTTCTGTTTACTTTTACTTTATTTTGTTAATTGATATCACAGCTTAATACAAGTTCTTTTTATGATAGTTCAAATTCAAACTTAATGGAGACTATAAGCACAACGTTTGAATTGTATTCATAAACATAAACAGAAAGATCTATTCAAAAAATGTATATTTTGTAACAGATAATCAAAACATGAATCTTAAGTAAAGCATTGATTTTATACTGATTTACAATTCACTAAACAAATGGAGTCAGATAAATTAGTAAAAAAATTATGATGAATATTTATTTATTTTGTTCCTGAAATGTATAGCTGTAACAGCATAAGTCAGATTTAGAAAAAAAAGAATAGAAAAGGAAAACCATAGCATGTACATTTCAAATAAAAATAACATATATCTGTATGTTTTTAATGAATTAAATTCTTTAAAAATCCTAAAAAATAAAAAATAAGTCCACTATCTTTCTAGGTTATTTTGTAAAATTCCCTAAAAGTTATCAATCTGAGACTTTTTTCCTGCAGTACCGTGATGATGCCAGTCTGAAAATCATGAACCAAATCCTGGTCTTTCCAGTGTTTGTAATGCCTGTTGCTTGTAATGAGGGACAAGATAATATTTGGTGTTCTCTTCTTCCATACTTTGGCCATGTAAGTAGCTACATCATCAGCATCAGCAGCTTCCGGGACACTTACATACAGACCAGCATTGGCCTACAAAACAAACAAAACAATTGAACTTGCTGTCACATAAGGTCATTTCATGATATTTTAAGTTATTAGGACTTTAAAGTCTTAACTGAAAGAGATTTATCAGTTTCTCAAAATGTCCCTGTAAGAAGAATATGTCCATGACTCAGACATTTGTGTTTAAAAAGTCACCAGACTCAAGCAAATGTTAAAACTAGTAATTTGTTAGCCACCAATTCAAAAATTCAGTCACAATATTTGATATTCATGGAAATCTTTTGACTTTTAGCAGTGCAAATTTTACATTGTCACATATGAAATGAAAAGTATTTCCATCATAAACTTACTGCTTACTTCACAGTCTTAACAATTCATTTGTCCGGAAGGGAGAATGTCACATAAGTTACAAAAGTAACAAAATCATTGAAAAATCTATCAGAAAAATACACTAAATGATTACCTTTTGAACACTAGCCTCATCATACACAAACTGGATGACCCCTCCACTGAAGCCCATGTCTTCCATCCAGCTTGGATCCAGGGAATCGGTGCTGAACCCCGACACATTGCTGGTAACAGTGGCATATACTGGATCTATTGCCACCTCAGGATAGTCCAGGTTATCGTCGGATGCCATGTCTAGTGCGTCCACAACAGGGTATCAAGGAACGATCATCTCTCCAACACCATGAGGCTATCATCATACTCACAATGATATGTTAACTTCATTTTTTACCTGAAAAAAAGGCCTTGTCTACAAATCAACAAACAACAGATTTTACTATCACATTTCAACTTCTTTATGAGAGTCATAGGTAAATAAAACTACATAGTGTGCTCAATAGTTTGAACTTCATGAAAACATTTAACGCAAATAATTCGGGTGATGCTGAAAAATAAATCTGAGTGTTGAATGATATAACCATGGGTATCGTTACATTAAGAGCTTGGCTACAACATAGACTTATACTGTCATTGACAAATAACCCGCAACTTCTGGCCAATAATCCGCTAAATTTACCCATTAACCATGTCCATATCATGACATACAAGGGCAATTCAAAATTTCTCTAGAGTTTTACAGTATTTCTCAAGAGACTTGTAAAGAAAGCTCTAGTATTTGTGGTCATTTGTTTTTACATAAACTTAAATTAGCTTGCAAATTTTTTTTTTTTTAATTCTGCCAGAGTTGCTGTTCCTTAACAGTCACAATAACACTATTGGGGTACTGCAATGCACTCTGGGATAGATTAGGTGGGGATGTGCTGAGATTATTTGTTATGAGGATGAAATAATGTACGACCTTTATTTCAGTAACTTTTATACAAAGTGTTTATACTTATCCTAACAGGAAAATCTGTGTGTCTTTCATCATTATGAAATGCATCAAGGTCCAAAAACATAAAACTTTAGCAGAATGCCAACCAAATTTTTTTTTACTTCTTTGTAGGGGCTAATACTGACCAGTCTGATCACAGCTATTTTGTTGACCATTGATAACTGAATTTCCTTTTCATAACAAAATCATACTTATGAATTAAAGGTAATGTTTCACAAAACTGACACTATGAATCAATTGGAAAATTACTGACTTTTTTAATGCAAGCTATCTGACGATGATTTGCTTCTTGTTTTGGACTTGAAAGTAGTTTACAAGATATAAGTAATTTTAGATTGTCTTTTGTTCTATAAATATCAAAACTTGATTGAAATTATCTGTCACAAAAGTCACTTTACAAATTATTAAGCTTTGTACTACTGTTTATTTGGAAAAGATTAGTCATGTATTCTTGGAGAAAAATGGTTTATAAACACAGCAAGGCTAGTAAACTTGATTTTCTCACTATAGTGTTACAAAGGCAGTTTCTTATCTCTCTGTATTGTGGGTCCATGCTATATACTAAATGTTACTTTAGTGAAAGTAGGAGGCTGGCCAGCCATGTACGTGTAGTCGTGTACGGAACATTATTACGGAACTGGATTGGTGTAGGCAGCCAAATGATCAAAGTAGCCAGTCAAATTGGCCAGCAACCAACTCTTATGGAAAACCCTGAATATATATTGTATATCATTGTTAAAAACCTTCTACTTTTTTTACCCAAAAATGGAAAGCTTCACCATATCAAACAATTAACTTGTATGAAAATTAGACAGAGCTTCATTGTTTTTATCAAAGAATTCACTATATCATATCACTGAAATATGATTGGTTGATGCAGTTCATTTTATTCCGTGAATAAACTTTAAATCTTTTATCTAAATTACGCACTCAATGGTAATATATACTGAGCCTATCAGTAAAATATAATATGATTATAACAATTAATAATAATAAATATCATTGGTATACAAGTAGTGATAACATACATTGTACATTCGGATCACATGGCTGTCATGTGACATAGACAATATTGATATTGCATTATATTAATAAAACCTTAGGGAACAAATATTAACAAGGAAATACAAATTATGTACAATACACCATGTTACAGTCATTATCATATTTATTCTTTTCAAGTTTATAAGCATTCTTTTTATTTTCAATACCTTAATTCTTACTCATTTATACACAATTTTATATTAATACTAATTAACATATATGAATTACTGAGCGATAATCAATCAATCAAAATATGATAAATAATCACTTAATTACTATATACATATATTTTACATAAATTATCAAGAACATTAAAATTTCAAAATAAAAGATACAAGTACAAAGCCCGAGTGTGAACAGTTAAGTGTTACTGGTAAATCCCTAAAAAAGCAAAATGCACTGTAGGAATGTTAAAATATTCGCATCCAGAGACACACCCAACATAGCAGTTAAGGCTATCTACCTGGTGATTTCGTTTTGAAATGTAAATGTTATTCCAATATATATTTGAAACCCCTGTAACATTCCGTTTCGGCCTTGATTTAATCAGTCAAGTTTATGCTTATCACGTACTGCTTATTACAAGTTTGTTCTAGACAATTCTATGCGGGGTATTATTTTTGAACAATTAAAAATTGATTAAACAGCTTGCCTAATCAGGTAAATTAAGGAACGCTGCTACTTTATACATTTGGTGAAACTAATTTTAAATGATCATGATACAATATGGCGCTGATCCACTAGCTGTGCAGCATTGAAAATGGGCAGTGTAACTCAGCTGTGATTGACAACATTAGCCTGACAGTGATGACTAATTATTAATATAATGACCCCAGGCTATCATAGCATTCTTACCTAGAGGTATGAAGGATAATCGCATTTAATAACACATACATACCACCAGTTAGATTCCCGCCAACTTCACGGGCAGATTCAGTGGAAAGTTATTGTTTAGCTCCTTGTAGCTTACCTAGTTCACGATCAGCTGATCTGCGAAGTTTATTATTGACGGAAATCGAACTAGAGTAGCGTCCCTTCTCATCTAGGTCACGCGCTAGGAGAGGGTAATGCCAGGAACGCAGTCACTCTTTAGACAGGCACACAGATACTGAAGGCTAAATGCTTTTCTAGGGCAATCCATCATAGTGCAGACTGAGGTCTCGTGTCTTTCAGAGACAAATCTGCTGACCACAGAAAACCGACATCTTAGGACATAACTTTTTGTGTTATTGCTTTGTTTTTACAGTTTTGTCATCAGATATTGTTAAACCGCTATTAAACTTCTTAACTTATCTCGATACATACGAAGCTGATTCCTAAGACAAATCATTGATTTTCTTTCTTTTCTGAATTTCTGGTACACCACGACCGGCTCTTCAAATCGCCTTCTGTCCATGGTTGGTCGTCCGTCCGTCAAATGCTCGCTATGTATATTTCTTAACAAGAGTACTGACCATGGATCTTTATCAAATTTTGTATATGACCCTTGGTCCCTAATTGTGAACTGTCCGTTGTTAGATTAACCGGAAAATACGGTGTCCGACAGACGGCCATATCGAATTTCGCAAATTACACTTTGTTATCACCATATTTTGAAAAGTTCTGGATAGATTACTAAAAAAACCACAAAAACAAAACAAAAACAATAAAAATACGATGGGTTCCCTGTGGTCCTTAGTGGTGAGTAGAGAGCAGATGTACGTCTTGGAATGGAATAACATGTTCCAGTTCCACATCAAAATAAAATATAACACTATCCAAAAACAACGTCTATAGATTATTACCAATGAATAACTGAGTAACTCGCCACTGAGAAGACACAATTACCGTTATCATCATTATAGTAAACTCTAGACTACTAAATTTTATCAATGCCAATCGAAAACTAAGGGAGGAAACTCCGGAGAATTAACTTGAAAAATGAAATTTTGTTACTTGGTTTCGGATATGTATGGGTACACCAAAAAAAGTATGCAACTTATGCAGACAATATTTTGCCTGAAATAAAGCAGAGATTTTTTTATCAAGCCCAACAATACTAGAGTCATCGTCGAATATATATAAACATATTGTGGATAGTGTCACCTGACCTTTTTATCTTACTAAATATATTCCAAACAAATCTAGAACTTGTCTCACTAAGATACGTTTGTCGACACATTGTTTAACTATTGAATCTGGTCGATATCATAATACCCCAAGACAAAGACGTTTTTGTAATGTGTAATACCGGACAGGTGGAGGATTATATTTTTAAATGCAACAGGTATAGAGATTTAAGGGGAAAATGTATCAAACGTTATTACTGGAATAGGCCATCTGTTTTTAAATTGGTTCAGTTATTGAGAGTTGAAAGTATTAGGGAATTGTGTTCTCGAGGAAAGTTCATATATGAGGTAACTAAGTTAAGAAACACAAAATTAGATATTAAGTAATAATCACATAAAATATTAAGTATGAAATACATGGATATTATATGTCATTCTCTATATATGTATGTTACGCCATGCTGTAATTTGTTTATATTGTTTTTGTGACTGCTAGGCTGGAAGGCCTACGGTAATAAAAGAATAAAAGAATGTTGTTTCGATAATATTGTGGATTAATTTTGGGTGTGTCTTGTTTTATCTTAAAATTGACACCAACATTTATATGATGCCACAACCGCTTAACTTAATTAATCTTTCTTACAGGATGGCCCCATATTTCTTGTGAAATGGTTTGATTACAACATAGCCGAAAGTACATGGGAACCAGAGAATCACATCCCATCAGACATAGTAGAAACTTACGCTTCGCCTGTTATTAGTCACGAAAGATTAGAAGCTTCAGCCAGTGCTTTCGAGAATGCCGTTCAACAGCGGTTATCAACGAGAAATTGCAAAACCGTAATACCATTTCAGTTGGATGTGTTCAGATATTGTTTCGGAGTAGAAAATTGTTTTGGTGAACAAAAATGATTTCGCTAAGTTACCATTGCCTGAAAACTGGTACTATAAAACCAACTGTAAGGGAAACGGTCTTCAACTGTCATTTCCAGTTAGATTACAGGGAAAGTTAATAATGAAAAATATTTTCGTCGTGAATGGCAAAATGACCCCAACTGTGAAGTTCGTCCCTCATGAGAGACTGGTCTTTATTTCCGCAGTTGAACCTTTTGTCGTTTAAACTAGAATATATGAATAAAACACGTACAATTCTGTAGGATTTAGTTTTACGGACAAATAACCTTTCATATATTATGTAACTAAATGTGTAGAAGTACATCATTGCAAAATATTTTCAAGTGTGTGTAAAGGGGTACACCAATCACGTACGAACAAACACG